TATCTAGTCTTCAGAAAGCAGTATTTAGTCTTCTAGAAGCAGTATCTAGTCTTCTGCCAAAGTTATGTATGTTTTCTCCAAAATATTTTATCTTTCTTTTGCAGTATTTAGACCTGTTAGCAGTATCTAGTCTTCAGAAAGCAGTATTTAGTTTTTTAGAAGCAGTATCCAGTCTTGTGCCAACGTTATGTATGTTTTGTTCTTGATACTGACAGCAACTACTTTCTGGGTGTCTATCGTCATCATTTTTGGAGCCTCTTATTATCTATACGGATCTTGTACCACGCGGTACCTCATTTCTGCAGCTGTTACTTTGCTTTTGTGCTTATCCTGCCTTGGCAAAGTTTCCGTATTGGTGATTTCCTGTCCTGTGCAATAACAAGACAAGTCCATTGGTTTCTTGTTCATATTCTTCGCATTCTTTTATTGAACACATAAGTATTGCCATGAATGAAAAATGTTTGGTTTATAATCAATTTTTTGTTTTCTCTGAACAGAAATTTCAGACTTCATGTGGACTTTGAACAATGTAGGTAATTCCTGTTTTTTTTGCTGAAGTTTAGTTTATAACTATTGCAATTTCAGACTTTTTCTTGCAAATTAACCTTCTGACCAGAGTATTCTCGACTATTCCCTTAAGTTTGGTTTTTACCAGTATAATTCTTAAATTTTCCAGTCTTTTTTAAGTTTATTTATATTTCTTTGATTATATATTTTTTTTTAATTAAAATGCGTTTTTTAATTTTTTTAAATTAAAATGAATTTTTAATTTTTCCGCCGCAATTTTTTGTTTGCTGCATAAAACTTTATAAAATGCCGTTTATTTTTCCTAACCAAGGGTTAGCGGTTATTCATTCTGTTTATGGGTTTTCAAACTGAAATTTAGCAGAAGTAGCCCTAGAGTATAGGAGAAGATATCCACATAGAAGACATCCTTCTGTGTTTGTGAAAGTGCATAGATAAATAGTTGAACAAGGGCTAAATAATGACGGGTTGATCGTAATAATGACAATGTTAGGCTGCAAAGAAACTTTAGAAGAAGAATTTTGCGTGAGTTCGACAGAGACCCCACTACGAGTGTTAGAAGAGTTTCGAATGCCTTACGATTTTCTAGGGCGCGTATATATCGCCATTTAAAACATGATCATAAACATGTTTATCATTTACAACCCTTGCAAGGATTCAAACCAGGCGATGAAGAACGGCGTGTAACGTTTTGTCTGTGGATTGCTAAAGCATCAACCAACAATCGAGATTTTTTAAATAATGTAATATGGAACGATGAATCGTGTTTCACAAGACATGGGATTGTAAACTTTCACAATTTACATGTTTTGATATCCCTACGCAATTCGACCACGAAACTTCCAACATGAATTTAGTGTCAAAGTCTGGGTAGGCGTTTATAATAATTATCTTTTTGGGCCATACTTTATGCCACCACAACTAACCGCTGCGGCGTTCTTGTAATTTTTGGTAGCTGAACATGCCAATATGTGGGATGACATTGATTTAGCATTAAGAAGAAAGGCCTGGTTTCAACTTGATGATTGTGCAGCTTATCATGGTAAGATGGTAAGAAATTGGCTAGATAACCATTTTCCTGCAAGATGGATTGGTTGTGATGGACCAGTCGCATATCCCCACGATCTGCAGATCTTAATGCTTTAGACTTTTTTGTGTGCAGATATTTGAAAGGAAAATTGTTGTAATGGTTGTAATCACATAAGGCCGTTGTTAAATACCATTACTCGATAAGTATTTAATTCGTCGGTCAGAATTATGCAAGCAAAATTTTTTACATTTTCAACAACTTCTTTAATTTTTTTCTTTTATTATTTAGATTAAAAAACATTAATAAACTAAAACATTAGTTGATTTACCTACTTTGTTTCCATGGCACACATTATTTATCAAAAACACTGGAAGGGGTAGGAGCATACTGCCAGATACCTCGAATTAAGCAAGCCTACAGCCTGAGTACGTACTGTACTGTATTCCAGGCGGAAGTATTTGCTATTGACATGTATGACTTATGACAGTATGATATTCTCAGACAGTCAAGCCGTTCTCCAGGCGCTGCAAGCCGTGAAAACGGTGTCGGCTCTGGTTAATGATTGTAAGAGAACATTAAACACACTGAGTTGTGATAACAGAGTTTCTCTGATCTGGGTCCCGGGTCACTCTGGGATTGCTGGCAATGAAGCGGCAGATGAGCTAGCACGAGAGGGCAGCGCTAAAGCGTTTGTGAGACTGGAACCAGCAGTTGGTGTATCATTTGCTATGGGCAAATATAGGATTGGACTGTGGACTGAAGAAAGACTTAGCCTACTGTGGACCAGTTCTCCTGGAATGAAACATGCTAAGGTGTTTATTAACGTCGCCACTGTCAAACCAGGGAACTTTTTAGGACTAGCTCGTAGTAGCATAAAAGTTCTAATGGGTGTATCAGATTCTCGATTTTTGGGTTGCAGTTTATCTACTCAAAGGATCTGAATGACCTTTCACCAAGCAAGGTATTAATGTTAGTTAAGAGCATTGAAATTTGGTGACGATATCTATCGGTAGGGTCGCGGTGCAAGGTTGGTTGGTCCGCCTACCCATATGTAATCTATTTAATGTAATGTAATCTTGTCTTTGCCGCATACTCTCAGCTGCATCTCTGTTTGTTCTGTAGTTTGCTCTATCCTCTTCCGAATTCGTTCTTATGTATTTGTTCCATGACTCTTTCTTCTTCTTGATTGCCGCACCAGTGTGTTTTCTTTGTCTGATTATTATGTTTTCTCATTGCACACACATCGATAGCTTTATTTCGCATTATCGCTTTAAAAATTCTCCACCTTTTCTGCAGTGTTAAATTCTCTATTTGTTCTAGTTTATGAAATCCTTTGTTTGTTTTCTCTTAGTATTTTATTCTTTCTTCCTCCTGCCTTAGTTTAAGAACGTTTATTTTCGTGTAGGTTGTCATCTCTTCTGTTTCGATTTCTATGTTATTAATAGTTTCCATGACTAATCTGTAGTTTTTTTCCCATTTCTGCTTCTGCTTCAGTCTTTATCTCGTCGACTATGCTTTGGTGATTCCCCAGGTGTATGTAATCAATAATACTCTTAGAATTTCTTTCTTCTGCCACAAACGTATATTTATCTTGCCTCTTCTGACTCCACATCGTGTTTCCAATCAATAAATCGTTTATCTGACAAAATGCCACCAGCATTCTTTACCCATTTCTATTCATCACTTATATTCTCTATTACTTTGTCTTTTGATATGTCTAGTCTCCGACTTCGTCTCCAGATCCCTCATCTAGCATGATTTAGGTCTAGAGTAATACGTAAAATAATTCAGCTAAACAACACGCTGTTACAGCTTTTGTGGCGACTGATAGCACCACAACTACAAGGAAAAGTTCTTGGATGTGGCCAGGGGAGGTTAAGCAATTAAACAAAATTGCAGCTATTTTTGTCGAAACCTTTTTTTGCATTGGTGCGTGTAATTAAAGGTTAATATGAAATCTAGTTTAATTTCGTTTGTGCTAACGGAGTGGCTGTCCAGCAGTCGAAAATAGTAGATTTGTTTTCAACTACCTACATTGCTTATGATTTTTTCTAACTTCCTATAGTAAAATAATCGACTTTTATAGATTTACCCATCATTGGAAACACACCATCAGATGTAGCCTGGCAACTACTAAAAACATTCCTCCACCAATATGAAGAAGACCACATGACCACTATCCATAGATTCATTTGTGAAAAAATTCTTATTTTAGGATGTTTTGTACCAAATTGGCTGGAAATTTCGTATAAGGTAATTTTTGATTTATTTTTTTAATTAATTACTTATTAATTTATATTTTGTGCATTTGTAGTTAAGAAACCCAGCGGAATTAATAAAATTGTATTTCTTACGTGGATATTTAATAGAAGCAACAAATCTCACTTGTGAATACATTTTAGCTGTTTTAGACCGGGGATATGAGTACTTTGGTCTAGAAATGGGCTTAGTTCCAGGTGCAAGGCCATTTTGTTTTCCAGTAAGAATCATTGAACGTTTATTACATAGATTGGATAAAGAAAATAAGATTGATGTAACAAAACCTTTACAAAAAGTGAGATATTTTTAATTGTTAGTTTTAAATGATATTTTATTATTTTTTTTTAGGAACATAATAGACTCCAACAATTGTATTTTAAATATTTAGAAGTGTCTTCTCGTATTTCAAACGAAACCACCAGGCTACAATCTTTAAATATTTGATTATTTAATTAAAATAAAACATATTTCTAAATGTTAATTATTTTAATATGAATACTTTTACATACAATAAACTCTTAAGATAATTTATTCTATAGAACATACAATTAATTCGGCGACAATTTCATCTGTAGCTTTTACAATAAGTTCCATTGTAACTGTATCAGCCAAAGCAAGTTTAGCTTGTGCTAAAATATCGATACCACCACGGAAAACACCCGCTAAAAGTAACGAATGAACACTCTTTCCTTCTGGAACTTTATCAGAATGTTCAGCAGGTTGAAGCCCTAAATATTGAATAATATTTTTGATAGCTTCCTCTAAAGTGTTAACAGAACTTAAAGAAAACACAATATTTGTAACATAATAATTTGTAGCTTCACTTGCTTCATCCCAAGCGGCTGACCAATTTACTTTACTAACTTTTAAAATTTGATCAGATGGCGTTATTTCTAAATCTTCAAGGATGTATTCATCATTGAAACCTTCATCAGAATCCGGAATTCCTGTGCTTGGATCGCAATCTTTCGAAACAAATTTTAAAACAGCTCCAAATGTTCCTACAGAAGCATTTAATTCAGTTGGAAATTCTAAAATAACATAAGAAGTTCCAGTTTCGTTGTATGGAATTTTAGCACACAGAATTTCTTTAACGATTATGTAATCTTCACTTGGTTCAATTTGAACTCGAACCTTCTCCAACAATAAATCGCTCAAAGTATTGGTGCAATTAAATTGTAACACCAAATGCTTACTATAACAATGTTTTATACAACGAACAACAAATTCAGTTTCAGATTCTGTAAGTTCAACAATTTCAGAACTTTTAAATAGAGGCCCAAGTTGTTGCAACTCAGGAATTGTAGCCATTTCTTTCAAATATGTTTCTTCTCTTGTAGCTTGAACCGGTTTTGTTGTTGGTCCGGTTGAAATTAACATTCCTTCGGTTTTTTGGGCGGCAGCATGAATCTCTTCTGGAGCTGTTGGAGTTACAACTGGAATTGATTTTATATCGAATGGTTGATCTGTAGGCCCTTGAACGTATTCTTTTAAAGATCGCTCTAAAGCCGGAATTGAAACCTTCATTGGCTCAACTATGTAATTGCTGAAAAGGCTTTTATCACCTTCCCTTAAAATATTGCTGTAGTAAGTAGCTCGATCTCTAACTTCATCATCAGGATCCATTTGACACCGCGTTAATAAAACTTGAATGTTATCAAGAAGATCAGGACATGTTGCTCCAAATTGTGCCATTGCTGATACTGCGCCAGCACGAAATCTTGGGTCTTCAAGTAATACTCGATTATAAATGAATCGAATATATCTAAAACAAATTCAATTATTAATTATAATTTATCAACATTAAAAATTTATTTTGAACAGTGTTTCCAAAACTTTCTACATCTATACATCCATTTTAAAATTTTCTTAACGCCAAGTACTCGTCGTAAAAGAACTATCTATATTAGACAAGTAATATATGAAAAAAGAAACCTAAGAAGAAGATTATCCCTCCATTAAGAACTGAACATGGGCAAGGAACAGTTAACAGAAAGTTGATTTATTTGTAAATCACCTTGAAAAAAAACCATCAGGTTAATGAAGAAGAGAAAGACAAAATAATAATGGAATACTTCATTCAGAATGATGAAGAGTATATACAATCTACTTCTAAGGGAGTTAAAGAGAGCCAAAACAATTAAAGAGAACATCTCTATTTGTTGAATAGGTTCATACATCTTTTGTCAAACAAGTAAGAACATTTCAAAAAGAGAACAATCAAATGGAAGACGCTGTTATGAATCGACAATGCTCCCTGTCACGCTTCAGAGGCACAGTTGAAAAGCAATGATGGTCAAATTGTAACCATGTTTCTGCCGCTTTAGTGCATCCCGCTACTTCAACTAATAACTCCGCCTGTGTTGGACGACAACAGGTATCATAGCTGATCTCAAGCCCGGATAAAGGAGGAGGGTTCACAGATCAGACCTGGAGGAAAAATTCAATACAGCTCACAGAACCTCAAGCCAACCTCGGAATTTGATTGATGGAAAGATGATGACAACGCACATACGGGTATTTGAACGATCTAAGCGGCCAAAAGTCAAATTGTCAAAAGTCAAAGTCAACCATCCCAGTCAAAAGTCTAGGGTGCTTGACAGGTTAAATCACAATACCCAACGTACCCAACCCCTCCCGCCTTCCCACCGTGCATGTCGCGCTTCCATGGGCTTTCGGAATTTAATAGTGTCACATGGTGTATGTGTTTGTTCTCGGGGCGTTCGTTTGCAACACGGAGTTAATAGTGAATATTTGTTATTTTGCGTTTATTTTGGAAGAAAAAAGTTATGGATCCTGATAAAGCAGGTAAGTATCTACTAATTTTTGTATAATTTTTGTAATTGGAAAGTTTCGTTTTAGTATATTGAAATTCACGCGTAATATGGAATATTTTTTAGCTATAATTTGTGTTTAAAAAGGAATATGTTATACTACCAAGTTAGATCCTGTCATAATTCTTGATATAATCGAAAGTTTAACGCTTTGAGTAATGACTAATCCAAAATTTTGCCGCGGAAAGTCGCGGATAAGTACCTAATTATTGTTTTGAAGAAAACGTATAAAAGTCTTTATTTATGTTAAGTGAATTTTTAAGCTGTCTTTTTTGTTTTAGGTTCCCAAAGAATCTCGGGAACAAGAACTGTGACCCGTAAATACTTGTTCGGCCGCATGCAGAGCTTTAATTTGCCTAATTTGGAAGAAAAACTGACTTTCTTGAATGAGGAACTTCTGTCATGCGGAGCGTACTCAGAACAAATTAAGACCTTTAAATCCACCTTTTCTCACTTTAAAAGCCAATTAAGACAAAGGTGGTCAAAGGCTCATAAGAAGGAAGACGTGTTTTGCAAATACAATGATTCATGGCTTGAAGGAACTGTTGAGATATAAAATCGGCCAGGCCGCCCACGTAAGTTATTTGGATATTCAAGTGAAAGAACAAAAAGGAGGAAAACTGAGGAAATTCGGTCTAATGTAGAAGAAGATGTGATCGTTCAAGCTGCTCAGATTCAGTTGCGGAAAAGTGGAAAACGAAATGCTTCCGATATATTAAAAGAAATCACCAATACTAGTCCGACACGTGCAACAAAATATATGAGGGCATTTTCTGAAACAAGAAAAGAACAAACTGGCCCTCTTACACCATTGCAAGCATTGGCAATGTTTGTAGAAGCTGATTTAAGTCGTCGACAGTACGAAATAATTAGAAATACCAACAAAAAGTTCTTCCCTTGTTACAGCCTTTTACAAAAGATAAAACAAGAATGTTACCCACCGCCAGAGGCATGCAAAGTAACAAGTACCTGCGCTGAAAGCGACTTACAATCTTTGGTTGATCTAACCGTAAGGCGCCTGTCAATCTCCCTAGAAGAAGTCCTGATGACATTAAACGAGAAAGAACGAGATAGCCTAAAGATAATATGTAAATGGGGTTGTGACGGACCTCAGCAATCTAAGTACAAACAAAAATTTGAAAATGATGCTGACTCAGATGCTAATATATTTCAGAGCTGTTTCGTCCCTCTACGATTGGTTTGTGGCCAAGATGAAAAAAAGATTGTGTGGGAAAACCCAACACCCTCTTCACCACGATATTGCCGGCCAATCAGGTTTCGTTTCGTAAAAGAGAGTACCGACATAACGGAAGAAGAAATTAATTATGTCAAAAACTCTACTGATTCACTAACGGCAACAGAGGTTTATTTAAATGGGGAAAAATTTTTAGTGAAACAATCATTCATCATGACAATGGTAGACGGTAAAGTCTGCAATGCTGCCACAGGCACGAAATCCACAAGCCGGTGCTACATATGCGGTGCAACTTCTAAGGATTTCAACCGATTAGATGTTAAAAAAGAGATAAATCCTGAACCACTTGGCGTATAAATTGCCTGTAAAAAAATAAGAGAGGAAAACAGAAGCCGAAAAAAAAAAATCGAAAATGATAACAAACTGGAAATTCAAGCTAGATTTCGAAAAGAAACTGGTTTGATGGTAGATATGCCAAAGGCAAATTTCGGCAACACTAATGACGGCAATACAAGTAGAAGGTGTTTTGAAGATCCTCAGTTAGCTTCTGATATAACGGGTATTAGTCATGAACTAATTAATATACAGATTAAAAGTCCTATACTAGAAACGATTTCGAGTGGACATATAATCGATGCTGTAAAATACGATAAATATGCACTAGATACTGCTCGCTTATATGTCGATCAACATCCTTGGCATCCTATGACACCAACAATGCACAAAATCCTTATCCATGGTGCAGTTATAATAAAAAATGCATTGTTACCCATTGGGCAGCTCTCCGAAGAGGCCGCGGAAGCGCGTAATAAGCATTTCAGGTCATACCGCCAAGACTTTGCTCGAAAATTTTCTAGAGACAACTGCAACAGAGACATTTTTAACCGGCTTCTTTTGACTTCGGACCCTCTGTTAAGTAGCATGAGTAGGGTAAAAAGTAGAAAACTTAATTCTTTCTTGCCAGAAGCAATTGCTCTACTTATGTCCGCGAATCCGAATGAACTTGGTCATTCTGCAGAAAGCGAAGATGAACATTTGTCTGAAAAATTACAGATTTTTTGATGTTTTCTTTTTGTTTTGAATAAATACGTCTCGATTTAATATTAAAACCTTTGTTTCATTTACTAATATCGTTTAGAACCAATATCAAACATAAAATCATTTTGGACGCGTAGATCGTTCAAATACCCGTATGTGCAACGGCGAGAAAACGGACCAAGATTTGGAAACAAAATAAACTTAGAGTTGCCACCTGGAATATCATACCCTGGAACGCAAAGGAAATCATAGAAGACCGAGAACTTGAAACATTCGGATTTAGTCCCACTACTCTCACGACGGCTAAACCCGAATAATTTTAGTCTTGTGTTAGTTCTAGTGATAATGCTAGTGTAAAACTAGAACTAACACTAGACCTAGAACTAAAAAGTTTCGGGTTTAGCCGTGCGTCTTCAGGCCCGAAACTTTCTAGTTCTAGTGTTAGTTCTAGTTTTAGTGCAATAAAAATATGCAACATAATGATATCTTATGCTAACTAGCGTTACCTACCGCTGTTGTTTATAAAATGGATAAGATGAGAGATGTTAATCTATTTATAGAGTCTCTGAAGATGGCCAAGGGCCGAAACTAGTTAGACTTAAATTCTATATAAAATAAAAGATATAAACTTTTAATTTTATACTAACATCTAGAAAACGATACTGGCCCGAAAATGTAGGTTCCTCTATTTTTTCTATTGCAGAATTTCTTGGTGTATCTAAGTCGGTTCTTAGACGTATGATGCAAATCGGATTTGAAGCGTTATCCTTTAAAACAAATAGTATTTTAGGTCTTTCGGTATTCTGCATTCTTCTAAGATAAGTTACATTTTTACCTACCAGACAGCATGAAAATCTCTAAAAACGATAAAATGTTGCTTAGTCAAGTGATGATTTTTTTTGCGCTACTTGTATACTTTTGACATTAGGAAAAAGAGAAGTTAACGATTCAACTCGAGACAATGCGTCTGCGATTATGTTATCAGATCCTTTAATAAATTGAATATCAGATGTAAATTGAATAATATAATGTAGATAACGTATCTGACGAGGAGTTTTGTCAGCTTTAGAATAAAATGAAGTAATTAAAGGTTTATGGTCGGTAAAAATCGTAAAATTATAGCCATACAGAAAATGTTTGAAAAATGTAATCGCTGAATATATTGCCAGAAGTTCTCTATCGTACGTGGAGTAATTGATCTGTGAAGATGAAAGTTTTTTTTGAAAAGATTGCTACAATTGCTCTAGATGAAGCATCTGTTGTTATTGACAACTTGACTGTACGAGAAGGTTGCGCAAGAACAATTGATTGACTTAAAAAATTTTCTGCAGTATTAAATGAATGTTAATCTAACCAAACAGTGATGTGTTTTTTGTTATCATTTTTCAAAGAATTAGACAGATTATACAAACAACTAAGAATCGCTGAAAAATTTGGGACGAAAGAATGATAGAAATTAATCATACCTAAAATATTTGCAATTCCTTAAGGGTTTTCGGTCTTGGAAAATTATTAATGGCCTGAATCCTTTTGGATGAAGGACGAAGTCCATTTGATGAAATGGTATGACTAAGAAAATCAATGGATTGCACGCCAAAAACACATTTTGAAGCTTTTATATTCATGCCAAAACTATTTAATCTTTCAAAAAGTTGATGTAAATGTGACAGATGACCGTCCTCATTTTTACTCACTATAAGAATGTCATCTAAATACACGAATACAAAGTTTAAACCATTAGTGACTTCATTAATAGACCGCTTGAACGTCTGTGCTGCGTTTCTGAGTCTGAAAGGCACTTTTGTAAATTCGTAAATTGGTAAATGATATTGACATGATAAATAAAATTTTTTAAAGAAAAGGGAGATCAGCCATGAATTTGCTGTCACACCAAGCATTACTAAATCCAAACAATACGCAAAATTGGCCACCACTACATTTTTCCTCCAATGGACACTTTATAGGTATAAGCTAACAGATTGGTCCATTTGGTCAACTCTGGTCGATGTGTATTTTGTCACTGTAAGTGTTGCTGGAAATGTGAATTGTGCACAAAAACACTTTGCTTTGAACGCAAGTGCGTTGCTCAATTTCATACTTAAACTGCCCATTATCCCTAGGTGAGGACACCCCTTTCCTCAAAAAATGTTGGTTTAAGTTTTTTTTTAACTTCTTATTTGACCAAGAATGAATTAATAAATAGCTTTGTTCGTTGGGACTACACTACTTGCACTCAGCAGTTTAGTGCAGATGTTATGTGTTCGTTGGGGATAGTGCAGTTGCACTCATACTGTTCGTTGGGCCATGTGCAGTGCAATTTAGTGCAGCCGGCGCAAGTTAGTGCAGATTTTGTTGCACCTGCTTTCGATTCAAGCTTTGTTCGTTGGGACTGCACTACTCTGCACGACATGGCACTCGTATGACGTCATAGTGAAATGAAGTGTAAGTCAGTGCAATGTCATGTCAACTTAGTGCAGGTCGGAAAAGTGTGTAAACCGTGGTCGCAACGAACAGATTTTTATAAAAAAAAGTGTATAATATTTGAAATGGACGAACAGGAGATTGTCAGCGAAATACTCGTGGAAAATGAAATCATTGCAAAATGTTTTCACAATGTTCACATGCTAAATTGCAACAAAATCGATAAGGAGTACTTGAAAAAAAAAAATTTGGGGTGGTGAGGGTAGTTAACCCCAGCCACTCCTAAATGAGAAAAAACACATAATTAATATTTTTAAATGTACTATAAGTGTATTTAATGAAGCCAAAATTGACAGGGTAGTTTTTAAATTATTCCAAAAAAGTAGGGGTAGTTTTGTACTGCCTCTACTGGGATTGAATATACTGTGTTCTCTAATACAACAAATATTAATTATTATAAGGTTTTATTTCTTAATATTTAATATTAATTATTACAAAACACGCTTTCAAATATTTCGCCATTTTAGTTACACTGCATTAAACTGCACTTATTGAACTTAATCAAAAGCAGGTGCAACAAAATCTGCACTAACTTGCACCGGCTGCACTAAATTGCACTGCACATGGCCCAACGAACAGTATGAGTGCAACTGCACTATCCCCAACGAACACACAACATCTGCACTAAACTGCTTAGTGCAAGTAAGTGCAAGTAGTGCACTTTAGGTTACGTTTAGTGCAGCTGCACTCATACTGTTCGTTGAGCCATGCGTAGTGCAACTTCGTGCAGCCGGTACAAGTTAGTGCAGATTTTGTTGTACCTACTTTCGATTAAGTTCAATAAGTGCAGTGTAACGAAAATGGCGGAATATTTGAAAGCGTGTTTTGTAATAATTAATATTCATATTGAATATTAAAAAATAAAACCTTATAATAATTAATATTTGTTGTATTAGAGAACACAGTATATTCAACCCCAGTAGAGGCAGTAGAAAATGGACAAGATAGTAGATAGATAAATGGACAACAGACTATAAATAAGATATTAATTTGTATCTTTTTTTAGGGTTATTATAAATTATTAGGCAAAGGAAGAATTCCAAATCAGCCCGTCATTGTTAAGGCCAAATTCTTCTCGAACTCTGCAGAAGATAAAATTAAAGCTGTTGGTGAAGTTGTAATAAAATTATTATAAAAAGAGAAAATTATTATTATAAAGTTATATTTTTTTGACATTAACATAACCTCAACATATTATACACTTTTTTTGATAAAAATCTGTTCGTTGCGACCACGGTTTATACACTTTTCCGACCTGCACTAAGTTGACATGACATTGCACTTACTTACACTTCATAGCACTATGACGTCATACGAGTGCCATGTCGTGCAGAATAGTGCAGTCGCAACGAACAAAGCTAATGTTTTTATCCAAAACAAAAGTTCCGAATAAAAAAGCAATGGTCATGGTGATGACCGTACTTATTATATTTTTCGGTAATGCTACACATATACAGTATGTATATTTGGTTGCCTATCCTTTAAAAATTGTTTTAATTTAAGACCAATGTTTAAATTTTATATCGTACACGTTTTAAGTGAAGATTCATTCGTATTTTTCGTACTACTTACCTTGATGGTTGCTTGGTACGTGGCCCTTCTTTTCCTAATAAATGCAAAATCCTCACAGCTAAAGATGTATGTTCACAATCCTCAATAAATTCACATAAATGCGCTAAACCAGTTTCTTTAGCATCGGGATTATCCTCAATGATGGTAATAATAGTATCAGCAATAGAAGCTTTATAATCAAACCCACCCTCTTCCCTTAACATAGCTGATAAGAAATTCATCAAAACGCTATGTTTACGCGGAAACTTCAAAGCTAAAGCTCGAATCGCTTGTACAACAACAACTTTAAATTCGTCGCTTATTTCGGAGACAAACATTGATATTTGTTTCATTAATCTTTCAACAGAAGATTCTCCACCAGTTTTTAATAATGTTGTTATAGCCAAAGTTGCGATGGATCTATTAGAATCAGTAATTAAGTTCTCCAAGTCTAAATTGCAAGCTGTTACAGCAGCTGGATGGGAAATTGCGACTTGATTCAATGTGCGAACGGCGGCAAAACGCAATGTAGGTTTTGGAGAGCTACAAAATAATTGGAGAACACTTATAGCTGGAGCCAATTCGCGACTTGTAGTGCGTTTTAAGTTTACAATTGCATGTGCTGCCTCGTAAATAACCATTTCAGATTTATGTCTTAAGCAGGAATCAATAAATTCAAAGAGCTGATTTGAACCGCTTCCAGAATCATCTTCTTCAAGTAATTTTGCAGCAATACGAATCAACATGCAAACTGCGTATGGCGATTTTAATGACATTCTTGTTAATTTTGCTACTAATTTTGTAACAGCAAGTCTATCAGATTTTCTGATGTGATATAAAACGCCCAAAGCATGGTATTGAACCATAATATTATCGCTATTAACAGCTTCTTGTGCCTCATTAACCCATCTTTTAACAACATCTCCTGCCATTTTAGTCATGTGCAAAGAACTAACCAAAGCGGCGCTGCTAACGGCACAATTACGATCAACAATCGCTTGTTTCATGTATCTTTCGATAGCTTGTAACATGGTAGAATCAGTAATGCTGCATAAAGCTCTTATAGCAGCCGCCCTGTATAAATCTTCTTTACCAGTCATATCTTTGGTAAGACTAGAAGTTACAATTATTACATCATCAGCTAAAGAGCTTAATTCTTTAATTCCTAAATAAACCATCCTTCTTAAGATAACATCTTTTGATTGAAACAATTTCGTCATTGCAAAGAAAGCTTCCGTTGCTTCGGTGTTACCGAAAATTTCGCCCTATTTAAGTTGAAATAAAATTATAAACGAACTCAATGTTTAACGCGAAAATTCAAGAATCATTATGTGGCTTAAAAATCGATGATTTTTTTTTAAATGAGCCAAAAAACACGTTAAAAATAAAAAGAAAGTGCGGAAAAGTGTAGAACATACCGAAAAATCATATTAATGTTTCGATGTGACGTCACAAGCAATGTTAACCACGCATTTTCCCATTAAACCGGTCAGTACCTAACCTACGAATTATTGACAGACTGTGTGTCAATAGACTCTGTGTTAATACTAGAACTAACACTAGACCGAAAACTAGAAACATTCGGACTTAGTCGCACGTCTCTCAAGACGACTAAACCCGAATGATTCTAGTTCTAGATCTTGTATTAGTTCTAGTGATAGTGTAAAACTAGAACTAACACTAGACCTAGAAATATTTGAGTTTAGCTATACGTCTGAAGACAGTTTCTAGTTCTAGGTCTACTGTTAGCTCTAGTTTTAATTCAACAAAAATATGCAACTTATTGATATCTAGTACTAAGTAGCTGTATCTAGCACTGTCACTAGAAGTAACATTAGACCTAGAACTAGAAACATTCGGATTTAGCCGCACGTCTCTCAAGACGGCTAAACCCAAATGATTCTAGTTCTAGTCTTGTGTTAGTTCTAGTGATAGTGCAAAACTAGAACTAACGCTAGACTGAGAACTCGTAACATTCGGATTTAGCCGCACGTCTCTCAGTATGGCTAAACCCGAATGATTCTAGTTCTAGGTCTTGTGTTAATTCTAGTGATAGTGTAAAACTAGAACTAACACTAGAGCTAGAACTAGAAATATTCGGATTTAGCCGTGCGTCTGAAGACACTTTCTAGAAAGTTTCTAGGTCTAGTATTAATTCTAGTTTTAATTCAATAAAAATATGCAACTTACTGATATCTAGTGCTAAGTAGCGATATCTAGCATTGCCACTAGAAGTAACATTAGACCTAAAACTAGAAACATTCGGATTTAGCCGCACGTCTCTTAAGACGGCTAAACCCGAACGATTCTAGCTCTATGTCTAGTGTTAGCTCTAGTTTTAATTCAACAAAAATATGCAACTTACTGATATCTAGTGCTAAGTAGCGATATCTAGCACTGTCACTAGAAGTAACATTAGAACTAGAACTAGAAACATTCGGATTCAGCCACACGTCTCTCAAGACGGCTAAACCGGAATGATTCTAGTTCTAGGTTTAGTGTTAGTTCCAGTTTTAATACAACAAAAATATGCAACTTACTGATATCTAGTGCTAAGTAGCGCTATCTAGCACTGTCACTAGAACTAACGCTAGACCGAGAACTAGAAACATTCGGATTTAGCCGCACGTCTTTCAAGACGGCTAAACCCGAATGATCCTAGTTTCACTTTTCAACCCTTCCAATGAACTCTTTTACGACCTTACAAAGATTCCTCCTATAAACTCCCGTCTACAATCCTTATCCCTTAAAGCAATTATGAACTTCCCCAAAAACGCCCTAAAAAATTTCATCATCACTCCCCTCTCCATTACCCACTGTCCCATAACACGGCTCACACTGCTTAAAAAAATAAGGCCCAACTGAGAAGACTTAAGTACAACCAAACCGAATTCCAAGTCACGGGCAGGAAGACTAAGGTCTATAGCCCTTTTGGACTCTTTTTTATGTTTGTTTTATATATGTATTTCTTTTCGTATTTGTTATTATTTTTATATAAGTCCAAATAAAAATTATTTTCTTCTTCTTCCTAAGATAAGTGTTCCAACAAAATCGCTAACGTGTTGTTGAACGTCCAAAATCGCTAACGGACTAAATTCTGTATCTCAAAGGACAGTAAGTGCAGAAACAATTCGAAATGTTCTCCACAAAAGTGGATACCATGGATATATCACAATATCACAAAAGAACCGTATAAAACGGCTGGAATTTGCAAAAAAAATACGTCTAAATACGATGAATTTTGGAAATCAATAATTTTAGTGATGAAACAAAAATTAACATATTCCATTATGATTCGCGCTTTAAGATTTGGCGAAAACGTGAAAAAGCATTCAAACGAGAAAATTTGTACCCAACAGTAAAATATAGAGTGCTAGTGTTATGTTGTGGGAGTGTATGTCAGCTGCTGGTGCAGGCAAAATGACATTTACAAATGGTATCATGGATAAACGATATTACCTTGATATTTTAAAAAATAATTTATTAGAAAGTGCTAGAAACTTTGGGATAGCGAGATCATTTACTTTTATTTTACTAAACTAGGTGAGATTACAACGTACATTTACGGATGAAACACCCTTGTTTTTCTTAGGCTTTCGATGCATAACGACTGACTACCAGTCGTTAGATAGACTTTGTGTCAATAGACTTTATGTTAATACTAGAACTAACACTAGACCGAAACTAGAAACTTTCGGATTTAGTCGCACGTCTCTCAAGACGGCTAAATCGGAATGATTCTAGTTCTAGGTCTTGTGTTAGTTTTAGTGTTAGTGCAAAACGACAACTAACACTAGACCGGGAACTAGAATCATTCGGGTTTAGTCGTCTTCAGAGACGTGCGGCTAAACCCGAATGATTCTAGTTCTAGGTTTTCTGTTAGTTCTAGTGATAGTGTAAAACTAGAACTAACACTACACCTAGAACTAGAAAATATCGGGTTTAGCCGTGCGTCTGAAGACATTTTCAGACGCAGTTCAGTAATTTTTAGTGATGAAACAAAAATTAATTTATTCCATTGTGATTTGAGCCTTAAGATTTGGCGAAAACGTAACGAAGCATTTAAACCAAAAAATTTGTGCCCAACAGTAAAATATGGAGGTGGTAGTGCTATGTTGTGAGTAAAATGACATTTATAAATGGTATCATGGATAAACGATATTACCTAGATATCTTACAAAATAATTTATTAGAAAGTGCTGTAAATTTTGGGATTGCAAGATCATTTACTTTTCAACAAGATAATGATCCCAAGCACATGGCAGAAGTTGTGCGCCTGTGGTTGCTGTATAATGTTCCTTATCAATTACATACCCCTCCACAATCCCCAGATCTCAATCCCATAGAACATCTATGGAATGAGATGAAGCGCAAAACACGGCAACATCCCATAACAAATTTAAACGAATTAAAAGAGAGAATAAAGGAGGAAAGAGGCAAAATAAATGCTGCTGTTACCCAAAAGTTGGTGGCTTCAATGTCGAGAAGATTAGAAGCAGTTATCAAGAGTAATGGCTATCCCACTTATTATTAAGTGTTCTTTTTTGAGGTTGTATGGAGACTTGAGTGTAGAATTTACACCGGTGTGAAGACAGCAGTAAAAGATAGCAGTAAAAATTTCCGATGATACCCGAACGCCCATAGACGTCCGTAACACCGGACACACGGGGGCCCAATTTTTTCAAACAAAGAAACATTACATTATCAACTTAAGAAGTTAATTACAGTATATTAAAAGTAATTAGACAAAATTAAAATATATTTATCACTAATATCAAGGTACAACCAGCAATTTTAATTAAAATAACTGGCTCCAGCTCCCGTATTGGTTCGAAGATCCGAACTAAACTTTGTATACGCCTTCTAGGCATGATAAGAAGTATATTTATCGAAAGAAATTCCGCTTGCAAAGGGTCCGCGGGGGTGAACTACCCCGCAGTAGATTATAATTTACTCTACCGCCCTTATTCGGTTGAAGATCCGAACCAAACTTTACACAAATCTTCTAGACTACATTAGAATCAAATATCCGTTA